TAGTAAAACAAGTACCTTCAATGTGCAAGTTTGTTCTTCTCCTCGTGATTATCGTCAATGGCGTTCTCTCGGCTCCCTCCTTCGTAGAAGTGTCGAAGTCCGAGCCAAGCGTTTAGGCGCAGAGAGGCAGCAATACTAGTCGAATGCTTCAAGCAGGCGAACACGTCCAAACGCGAAGGCTTGGTCTTAACCCCGAGTCGGTAAATGCGTTGAGCGCGGATGTTAAATCACCAAGCTACTTGTCTCGTATCAAAAATTGGGTTCATACTCAGATCGGCGGCATCCATATGGCATGGAAAACGCTTCCGGCTAAACTTCCTGAGACGTCAGTGATTCTGGGACATACTCCTTGCTACATTGCGTCCGTCATAAAGAAGTTTGATCCTGAGTTCAAGAACTTTCTACAGCTTAAACAAGAAGGTAAGATACCAGAGAATTCTCTTTATCATGACTTAACCATATTCAGCAAGGAGTACGAGCAATTCACAAGCAAAGACAAATCCATCACAGAGCTGATTGGAAACTTCAACAAATTGAGAGAGAAGGAGTTGAAGTTGCCATGGCTCTATCGTTTTCGCTCTTTCTTTCTAGCAAGAAACGCACGTCGCCTCATCGCGAAAGGTCTTTCCAATGACCAATTGATCGATCACCACGTAACACCTTACACGTACTTTAGCAGTATACCGACGAAAGATAAAAAAGCTTTGACGGGTGCAGAGTTAGAAAAGTGGTCAAATGAGCCTAAAGTCCAGGATTGGATTGAGTTTACCAAGCGATATGACGAGCGGTATCCTTTTCCAAAAGAGCTCATCATTGAATAGTTGTGTTATGGTTATCTCTCTTGCAATATATTGTTTTTGATTCTTTGTGTACGTTTAGTACGAATTTTTCTTTCGGTGTTGCTTTATCATATATTACTAGTATAAATACTTAGGTAACTTTAAACCAATGAACTCTATATGACATTTAACACGAGCCTTCAATATTATTGAAGGACGCCAATATCGGCTTTACTCGGCACATTTAATGTGAGCGATCACAGCAATCGTACCAAACGCTCAATCTTTTAGGGTGATAAACATGTGCATTTTTAAAGAAATTAAGCAAGGTCAAACAACAATGTGTATGGTTTTCGCGCAGCCTTTGTGCTGATCAACAAACTAGCATGAGAGCTCGCTTAACGATGTGCATATTCGATACTCCATCAATTCTTTACTTTCGAGGTAGAGAAAAGGTAGAAAAAAACTCTGCGTTTTGCTGTTCATGAAGCATGATGCCGCAACAACACCAATTGCCGCATTTAAGATAAGCAGAAAGATTTTGAAAAGCGGTCGTGCCCCGGCATAAGCCTCCTATTGATGATATAGCATTGTTCATGTTAGCTTATAGCAGCAAAATTAGGTCACCAAGGCAATAATAAGCACAACTATGATGCTCATTCAATCGAGTTTAGAAATGTTGAAAACATGTAATTGATTTGATGCTCTTATTTGATTTTTGATAAACTCCGCATATTTCTATAAATAGATTTTAGTTTTCTCGAATATTACGAATTTTGATAGAAAATGTACTATGAAAAATGCATTTATTTATTACATAATAATAATATCATGAGAATTGGAGAATTGATAGTCTTATATTTACCAACTTGTCCTACGGCCCAGCCGACATGGAGTCGACCAGCCACTCGCGGGTTCATATAATGGTAGTAGTGATACCACAAATAGAAAAAAGAACTTGTAGTTCTTACGTTGCGAGGAACTGGCGGGCTGCGATCTCTGCCATTACGCATTATCTGGGATCACGCTAACGGAGACGAGTGCCCTCGTTGGATGTGAATGTGGTCGATTACGAGTTGATCAATTCGCTAGCCAAAGTTTAAGCAACTTAAGGTTGTGACAAGCACGTTTGGCCTTCTCCGGTCACCCTGCGAAGGAAAACCATATATAGCTCGGGAGGCACTATATTCTGCAAGTTGAACATGTATGCGGAAAGCACTCGTGTGCTTATGTGCGAGCGTGCTTGTCAGCAAAATTGAATGTGTCAGCGGATAAACACCTCGCCACATGCATCAAAACCTTCGGCCAGCCTGTCAGTTCCGGCAGAATATTGGGGGTTGTCACTTTTGTCTTTGTAGTGCTGGAGTTATCTATCCCAGATTGCACTAAACAGGTCAGTACTCGCCGCACCGGACCTTACCGCATTTTCGATGAGTGGTATGGATCAACTTCGGTTCTTTTGACACCACCACAAATGGCACAAGTTATAGTAAAAATAGATCGTCGATACGAGTTCGACTTGCTGATATCACTTCGATGCAAAAGTCAGAGCTAAATCGCGACAAGATCGATCGTGATGCGCTGAGTGCACGACGCAAGACGTTAGGGCACTCAAAACTTGACCAGGAGCTGTACCTGCAGGCTCTTGAGTATGACAAAATTGAAAGCTAGGACTGAAAATGAGAGCATAAAATTATCCACCTGGTAATGTCAATGTTAATAGCTCAGATGATAATGAACCAGAACTGTCTAAACAAGCGCAACTCGCGCGTAAATTGCTATGGTAACTTTGTTTTATTGTCGAAAGCGACAAAATCAAGACTACTTTAACTGATGTGCTTATCAAAAACTTTAAAATATACTTGAACGTCGTTTAGTGCTTAGGTATTAAACTACAAATATCAAAGGAACTATGATCGAGAATTTGTTGAAGAGAGGCATTTCAGTCAATGGTCAACATGTGACCGAGATCCTAAACTTTGTATTGAAATGTGAGTCCGGTACTTCCTGAATCCTTAAGCACGGTCCCAATTTCTTTAAAGGCTGCACTACTTTGCATCACATTACTGATTAAATTTTTTGAGACTTCAAAGATCAAATTGTTTGCACTCGTATTTGTGTAGCTGCACGCACAGTGCCTATCCCCCGAAATACATCAAATACTTCAACAATGCACTATGTGTTGCATGTAAACCATGCGCTAGCGTACCACATCAATGCACGTCATCATCTTAGTTCGAAGTGTGGGAGATGTGAAAGCCCAACCGCCTCCACATTAAGCCGACCTGGCGTGTGTTTTACTTTGAGTGTATATTTGGCAAATGAAATAATCATCTTGTCACTTCTGCGAGAGATTTGGTGATGACATTGCCGTGCGCAACGAAGCATGGTCTGCATAGATCTCAAATGGCTTGGAGCCGAGCAGGTGCACCTTAAACTTGACAAGACCATAAAAGATAACAGCCGTGCCATTTCTGGACGAATTGTCGGTGGATATTGTTCAATTGCCGGTGGATATTGTTCGGGTTGAAATGCGTTTTACAGGGAATTTTGTTTAAGTTGCTTTTGAAACTAGACTACCGCAGATCATTCCAAATTAGACGATTCGACAGAACGTGCTAGCTACGTGATGAAAAATGTTATTCAGTTGAGTCGAGCGACGGCAGTGATGAAGCTGAATGCCCCTCCACTTATTGAGTCTGCTTTGACTGCCTAAGCACATGCCTTTACAAACTTCAAAACGCTTTTGGAAATGATTTGACTAACTATCGAAGGAAAGTATAGTCTTCTAAGGCAATTATTTTGAGTTCGCAGCTTAGGAACGGCCTCCGAAAACGACTCATGTCATCATTGTCTGCGTGCCAAGTTTCTTGAAGCAACCTAACATGTTGCCATAGCCAAGAGAGATCATAGAAACTGGCTACGGGGCTATTTAATCAAGCACAGCAAAACGTACCCACTTCCATTCGAAGCGGATAGTAAATTAATGGGCTTTCCAGAACTATACCCAACATCCGGTAAAGAGGAAGAGATATTCCATTCTGAAAAAGATAGAAACATGATTTTACGTTGGTATTGTTGCTCTGGTCCCCCCTTTTTAGATTAGGAAGCAGAGTTGTGGGGCGTGAAGTCATTCAGCCAGAGGGACGTGTTATAATGATCAAGATATCCGTGAGCTTTAATGTCGCTTTATCGAAACATTTGGTCGCACCTTCACCGCTAGGCAAGGCTTGCTGTGACCCATTGGACACTCAGCGGGGAGGATGCTTCTGGTTGAGGACCCCGACGGATAGATCACTGTTTGAGGTACTGTCTTGGTAAGTCATTAAAAAGACTTACTAAAGCCATTAAATGCCGATACGTGCTTCAAACTCATCCGAAAGCCTATTTTGACTAATTCTGACGGCCAGTTGAACTGCTTCAGTAAAGCAGACGTCAGCTTCGAGCGCTGTACAATACTTGTCTATGCAAAGTCAAATCACGAAGTTGATGTCAAAGGGAGGGCGCTTTCGATCTCCGTGTCTGCTATCAGAAGGTTACTCATCTTCGTAAACCTGTTCGTACTGCAACGGATAAGGTTTTGAACATGGAACGAAACAAAATTAGAAACACGTTGTGTTACGTAATCCTGTTATATTTTTGGATGGAAAGAGACAGAGTTTACACTAGAATGTAAGTGGCAACGGTGCTAAGTGAAGTCTTGCTAAGTTCGGACCTCAGATTATCTTGTGCTCTCAAAGTGAAAATATCTCCTCACTTCGCAGAAACTCGATACAGTGCTGGTAAGCCCGCCGACTCACAGTCCAATTCCTCAAACTAGGTTTCCCATTGCTCATTGCTCAAAGCCGTCAACGTTTCATCCCCCCAACGACAGCTCTCGCTCACTACTTTTACTATAGCAGAACATCGACTCTCTTCATGAATTCGGCTTGCGGTAGCCCTTTTTAAAATGATTTTTTTGAGCTACTTATTTGGTTGAAGTTGCCCCGGACACTCAAGCGATTAGAAATTGACTCATAGCTGTAAGGCAATAGGTAGCTCAGTTACAAAAAAATCATAGAGGCTTCTTTGTCTTCAATAGAGTGTATCGGGTCCAATCGATGCGTAAACGTAACATCTTTGCAAGGCTAAAGTAAGCCGAAGAAGTTCACACGATATGTTTGTATTATCTTTGGAGTAAATTGTATTGTTTAGTTTTGTAGGTGTACCGTATTTATCGTAAACATCCGCACCTGAGGTCATGACCATACATCAAATCCAGAGCCGGGTCAGTTATGTAATTCAGCAGCTCTTAAAAGAAAAATAGCGGTGTAAATGTGCTGCCAAACGCTTGATATAGTGACATTAAAGCCTCAAAATGACTGCAGCATATCCTATGTATGACTTGTAAGCCGTACGTATCTGTACAACTAAAACCCTGCTACATTACAGCTCCTTTTTATGCGACGCAGAAGCGCGTTCCATCTTGTTTATTATTCCTGTCTAGTTTTACATCTTAAGTATATTTGACAAGGAATGATAAATGTGTTGCTAATCTTTTTGAAAGGTGTGGTGACGACGTCGCAGTACGTAGGACGTATGATCAACATAAATCACGAATGGCCTCGAGATAAGTACGTGAACGCGGACCCGAATTAGCATATCGCACAGAAAGAAGCATCTTGCCGCGGAGTGGATAAGATCTTTAGCTGACTTAACCCTAAAAAGACGTAATGACGCAATCATGTTCGTCGGTATACTTGGGATATAGCACACATCGAACAAGACGTAATCGTTATCGACGTTGTTATAGACTCATAAGGTATTCTTTTTTAGCCTCATAGACCACTTCCATTATCGCACACCAGAAATCATTTCCGCCGCCACCTATATATGTTTACAAACAGTTTTTTATTCGAGATTACCGTAAAACGTATAGAAATGGATATGTTGGCAAATATTGTCAATGAGACAGGTACATGTTTATAAACAATGCAATTTAGATAGTGAGGTCACTAGATTGTTAGACGACACTGGCGCGTTTGGTAGGCCTTGGGATGAGATTAGCCACTTCCAGAGTATTACTCGCTCCTATGGTATACCGACCAGATATCTGTAAGCCTGCAGAAGTCAGAATACTCAACAAATCAAAGAAACAGACAGTTTAGTAAAGGCATACGACAGAAAATTTAGCAAGAAGATGACAGAATAAACAGTCACAAAAGCAATCAGCGGTGTCTCATCAAAACCCGATTAAATCCACTTGCATTTTGTCATCAACAGCTCAACTGGCCTATACAACAGATTTTGTATCCAATTCCCCGCCACCGTTGTCTTTAATTACGGTTCTGCCTTTTCCGTGGACATAGCATTTAGCAGGTTTGACAGTACGAACTTTCATACATAAAAGTTTAACATGGATCATGCGTGTAAGTCCGACCTCTCATACCTCCCAACCTGAAGAAAAATAGGTTGTTAAATACTGTCATAGTCACCCACCGCAAATTTGAACAAGGTCGGGTGGATTTGATGGACCTCAGTGTGAGTCGAGCCCTTCTCATGCCGCGGTAGGTATTCCCACCTCCGATATGGCATGTGCCATTGCGGCGACGACGTTCCCTACTTCTCCTCTCTGTTGACCTGTGGATGAGAATTTTGAACGCGCATGTGTTTCTTCCTTGTCGGTGTGAATCCATTCAACACCTATCGCATTAACCTTATATATTTAAATTCCTTTTTTGTTGAGGTATCGCACGTGACTGTCCACTCTAGCGCGCGGCGTACTAGCTTGAAAACCGCTAGCGCGACGAGCTAATTCCCCTTCTGGGTATGGTCGATTTCGTGGCCATATCGACTCTCTATTCCAGAGACATCGTATTTTCTTTTCTTTACACTCAAAGCCGTAGAAACTCGACATAAGCGGTCGTACTACGAGCGGCGATGCTTCTCCTATAATGCCTCGTCGGGAAGCTCATGTGAGTTCTCACCAACGCATGAGTGAGTGCCTATAGATGAGCGATAACTGCTTTCAGCCCTTGTGTAACCATTTGTTACACTTCCCCAGGACTGACATAAGGCAAAAGCTTATTAAGCGTGTCAAGCTGTTACAAGAATAGATATTTAAACAACTCCTCAGGTTTTATCCTGCAATCCGTCATAAGGACAACACTTGCTACCAAGTGAAACGACAAGACTTCACGCTATTATTGACTATCAGATCGCGTTCACAATCGCACACAGATTGAGTCCGTGTCTCACACAGGAGCAGGATCGAGAGCATCTCAAGTAGCCGCTTGTGTTTTAATTCATGGGCGAGACATGTTTCGAGTTTATATGTTTCTGCTTTCCTATTTTCAGAAGTGTAGTGCATAGCATGAGGCAAGATGCCGTAGCAGTAGTTGTTGTATATATTTAAGAGTTTGACTCTTTTTAGTGGAAGGTATAAGTACATCACAACATAGCATGCACCCGTAACCGAACTATCCCCGAAAATCATGAAGTTAATCAGCTCCAATCCGTACCAATGATTCTCTCCGCGAAAGATGTTACTCAATCCGTATGACAGCATGCTGGTGATGGTCTTGTTAATCTTTTGGCTTCGAAAATATATTGCGTTTTTTATCACCATATTCTCTCGCATAAGATTTTGATGTGTTCGTAAAATGATCATTACACAAAACTTCAGGTCTCTGAACTTCTGTTGTCCGTTCGACGACGTAGTTGATAAAACACTTTCTATTCTGTAAGAAAAGCGTATCTACAGAAGGAAAGATGGAGCCGGCGTTGCTTGCACTACAGACGCTGTGCGAACGCTCGTGGGAGCTGCGACCGCTGTGCGAAACGGTGCTCGGTAGACTTGTCGCAATTTGTGGTTATACAGATCACTTTCAAAAGCAGAATTTGGTCTCGGCAGATAGTGACTTCGTCGATACAGAATTATTGTGGCCAAAACAGGTTGATGCTGCTCTTTCACGCTTAACACTTCTACTTCAGAGTCTTGCAGCAACCGAAAGCGCAGTCAACCGACTGGCAGTCGCTCCTGCTCCAGTTCGCGAATTGCGTTCGCTTCATATGTGGCTTGACGCTTCTTTTCGAACTTTACACGCCGAACACGTGGATCCAAGCGCCCTTTGGGCTCAGGAATGGGAGGATCAGCTGGAATGTGTGGAACAAGCTTTGCAACTTGCTGCCCGGGTGCAAGTAGATGGAGCTGCGGAACGTACAGCTAACGAGCAACTCGAGATGATTGCGGTAGTAAAGTTTGCATTCAGACAGGTACAGGATGTGACGAGGCGAACGAAGAAAAAGAAGAAGGGATTGAATCACAGTTATAGTAGCAATAGTGACAGTGGAGCTCAAACGCCGACAGAAGACGGCACGGAACTCTTTCCAGATCACGAGGAATCACTGCGTGTGTTATTTCGTAGATTAGTACGTGTCTGTGGTGTGTCAGTGCCAATTTTGCCGTCGTGGTTCTTGTCACCAGCTGAAATTGTGCACCACTCAAATTCATGCTTTCGTGGAGGCCCCCAGTGTCAAATAACAAGTGCCAGTTGGCTTCGTAGTCGTGGTCAGCATAAAAGTGGTGTGCAGCAACTTTTGATAAAGCAATTAGTTCTAGGGACTTCAGATTCTGAGAAAGTTTTGGGTCGAGCCATCGAAGCTGTGCAACGTGAGACCGAATTATTGCGGGATGTTGTGTGCCATCCGCATGTACTGCAATTAGCTGGGGCCTCAACTTTTGGCTCTCATCCATTTGTAGCGTTTGTGAGTCCATGGACAGCGCCAGAATCTACCTCGTCGATTGTGACGTCACTTGAAGACTATTTAAACCTGTCTGTCGACCATCGACGCCAATTGTTTCGCTTGCTGGCTCAGGCTGCAACAGGATTACAGAGTCTTCACGAAGCGTCACTAATACACGGAGATCTTTGCTGTGCAAATATACTAGTGGGAGATGATGGACAAGCAAGACTGGCCAATTTAAGGTCCTTTTCGCTCTCTCGGTGTATTACAGATGGAGAAGAAGCGAGGTACGCTACGTTTCGTTGCTCGGGATCGCTCCGGTGGCAAGCGCCTGAATTATTACGCAATGATTCAAAAATGGAATTGGCTTCAGATATCTATGCGTTTGGAATGACTTTGCTAGAGGCGCTATCTGAAGAATTACCGTGGGGTTTTATGGCCGATGAAGAAGTCCGCGAGCGCGTTTTAGCGGGTGAGATGCCACCACCTCCCGACGGAGTGGAAGAGAACGTGTGGTCGTTAGTCGAGGCCATGTGCGACTCGGACCAGGCTGCGAGGCCGGATATTTATACTGTGGTTGAAGAGCTACAAGCTTTGGCTGAAGAGGAACGTGAGCGCGATGGTGATGACAAGAGTTTTGAAAATGATACGACACGGACATTGCCCTTACATCGTGTGTCTAATGCTGATTTTTCAAATCGAGTCGCAACTTCCCCATATGTCACCTCGGTCGAAAGCATACAAAACGTATCGGAAACCGTCCATCGTCAGAGCAGCCCGACTGGTCATTCTCTCGGGAATCAAGCAATGGCGATCGGAATTTCTGTGCGCGACCCTCCAACATCGCCGTTGCTCGAGACACCGAATTCTACGATAGCGATTGTCGAACTTCGACAAAACTGGCTGGGTGTCAAGATTAATTTAATCGGCAATCGCGTAGTTGTGAGCAAGTTTTTACGCTCCGAAGCTGGAGCAGCTGGAGAAATCGAGGCTTCTGGTCGTGTGGAGCGTGGGGACATTTTGTTGGCGGTCAATGGACAGAGTGTTTGTGGTCTAGATCGTCTACAGATTGGCGCTATTGTTCAAACTTCGCCTCGACCTCTGGAAATATCGTTTCAAAGGGATCCTTACTTATTGACAGACTCATTTCGGTTCTCTGGACTTGCTATGGACCCCCGTTGGCGAAAATGTGGCTCGGCTGTACCTTTGCCAGGGTCACTAGGCCAAATGTTTACTAGCGTTCAAAATGGGGATTTTGAATCTGAACCTCGATTTGCCACTGATCCGTTCTCAATTGAAATGTGGTTTTCGCTTGCTGAACATGACGACACGTTTCTAGGTGGAGTACTGCTTGGAGCCCAGGATATACCATTCCAAGACACAAGCGACGCGAGTCCGTGGCCGTATGTGCACCAGCAACTTTTATCTATCGACCCTTTGGGCAACCTTTGGTGCTCGTTCTTGAACCGTCCTACTTCAATGTGTGTAGCTCATGAGCTGTCATTGAACCATTGGTACCATTTAGTTATAACATACAGTGGGGATACCGAGGTTGATCGTGCCAACTTTAGCAGAAATGATCAGTCTAAGCAAGTTCTTACTGTGTATTTGAATGGAGAGCAACGTCTTTCGGAAGCTGGCCCTCTGCTTTCAGATTGGGGGCAATTGCGTCACATTAATATTGGCTCAGGCTGTATCAGTGGCTTAGCACCTGCAAAGCCAGAGCCACACTTTTCCGGCTGGTTTGGATTTAGTGGATTAGTCTACGACATGCGTGTGTGGAGACGCAAAGAATTTACAAGCTCCCATGTACAGCTGCTTTTTCGAGGCAGTAGTGACTTCATTGACGATGCTAATTACTCACTTCGACGTGACTATCTTGGTGAGTCTGTGGAAATGACTAAGGACAAAACTCGAAGAAATCGCTTAACGTATGTTCGTGCCACCAAGCTTCAGGACCCATCTTTTGCCGAACTTGTGCGCACAACGTGGCCTCGTCAGGTCGGAGCCCAAGTTTTTAGCTAAAATAAAGATGTAAGGACGTTAATGTTGTTGTGTGTAGAAGTAATCTAAAGTCGTTTTTTACTTTTGGAGTCTTCAATCATGGAAATTGAACACGAGCTTTATTTCATGTTTAACAAAAATTGGCTAATTCGCCGTCAGCGCCTTTTAATTCTTGGTACTCGATCAATATCGTGAATATATAACTTTGAGGAAGAACAGATTGTACGTGAGGGTGGTCGATCATTAGGTTTGTCAGCAGCAAAACAAATTGCTACAAAAAATAAGCACCTTGCTAAGATGCTTTAAGTGGCATTGCAAGTGCTTTACTGCACACTTTTCGTTTGCATCTTAAAGGCGATTGCTGAACTGGTTCTCTGTGTGTTAAATTGATGCGGACTCTGAAAGTCAGATGTTTCTCTGCGCATGGTGCCACGATTGACACCGTAATAGATCAATGTTGATAGATCAACGCATACTGGATGAAGTTCTTGGTGCAATTTGAAAAGATATAAATGATGTGGGCGAAAACGTTAGATTCTTCTTTGAAAAGGTTTGTTTGCCGGGGGTGACAACAATCGCAAATTGTGGGTGTCGTACAATAGCGTGTCTGGAATGACATGGAAGATATCACTACTGGTAGAAAGCAAGAAAAAAACAGTTTGGAAAGATGAAAATTACAACATTGCCTTACCGTAAAGTTTCATTGCAGTATCCCGCGGGATCACTGGGTTTGATTTTCCTGTTCCACTTCATATTGATCAAAGAGTCCAGGCCTAAATTTGATAAAATTGATATATTATTCTTGTGCTTAAGTTCCTTGTCATTCTATTTCACGTGTCTTCAGCAGCACAAAGAGCTGCAGGGAATGTATGAGGCGATTGAACTTTATGGCACTAGTAAGCCTCGATAAGATCGAGAACACACTTTGATCGCCAAGAACAAAGGTGTATCCACTGTACATGCCAATTATACAGCTAATTATCATCCTGTCATTCCTTGAAAGGAAGTTGATAGCATTTGCGAGCTTCTAGAAATGTATGACAAGCTATGGATTCGTATCTCAATGCATATTGAAAATTTGTTTACAACGCTGCAGTGGAGACACGGAGATTCGAAATTTTTCAGCAGCGGAATTCGGAACTGTTATTGTATCTTGAAAACTGCTCCCAGAGAAAATGATTATGCCTACAAGAACAGGGTACACGATAACAGCAAATCAAAGGTCGATGTATTAATAGATGTTCTTGCATAACTGTCATGGGAATCCTTAAAAGTGAATACCGGGATGATACCAGCAAAGATATCGGTATCGATAAATCGAAAACTAAGCCTACTTTTGAGTAGGTATTAAAAGGCAACCGAAGCAGTTAGTAAATGGTGTCAAGTCTACTGCATACTAGCACTATACTATGGACTGGGTGAATGTCGCTTCAGCACCGCGCAATTGTTTTGAATAATAACATGATAATAGCGTGTTCTGTCTGACCCGTCGATCCGTGGATGATGCGCTGTAACGCGCTTACACATACCCTGGTGACAGGGGTGTGTGTCACACCAGATTGGCATGGTGTGACCACACCCAAACAAGAATACGATACGGGGCTGGATAGCCAGTAGTTATACATGTATTAGTATTTTACTATACATATTTTGGAGAATCTATGCATTTAAATTTAAGCGGCTATGCCGCAGATGAAGATAAAAATATCAGTTTACAGAAGAATTAATTAGGGTGTAATTACTCTTGGAGTAAGCGAATTGCGATCCGCTATACTCGTACTTGTTCTCAGTATAATATGAAAGGTCAATGACCTAACTAACGCTTCCTCTAGGCGCAAAGCTACGGCAGCCCCGCTGCACGTCTCTCAGTAAAGTGTGGATTTGTTTCGATGAAATGGCTACCGGCAAGCCGTGTTAGTGAAAAAAAATAGCTTGACAATGTCATCACCGATCATAGCACAAAGACTGGTTTTACAGGACGCGTTCTTTAAAATGCCGAAAGTAAAGCTCATACCTATGGCCTGCGACACAGTGTAGGGACCCAGAGTCTAGCCGATGGTGCTGCCTCGTGCGGCACATACTTGACTTGTTTAAACATTTAGCACGTACCACTACCCATCGATACACGTTGGACACCAAACACATACCGTTCACCGAGCAGTATGTGTTTTCTCTTTTGAGATGGTCACCCAGAGGGGTATCATGCGTCTTTTTCGATATTGGTATTTGAGGACCTCATCATATAGCACTAGCGCGTGATGAGTATCTTTTTAGTCAGTGTTGTGATATCGCAAGCATTCCGATAAGACATGAAGACTAACAATTGACGATTCGATAAAGCAGCATCTGTGTTCTGAACCTCTTGCTTTCCAGGGCGTTCGGCTCGCAATTCAGACATGCACACTGTATGTATAGTCTCGTCAATATACAAATTCATCATCGTGCACGTGGCAACGCAAAGTCGGGGCGACGCCAAAGTACATCTGTCACCGTAATAAAGCCGGCTTGGATCCAAAGTATAGTCGGCAAAAAGTATAGCAATTTGCCAGTATTCGTAAGGGTTTGGTGGTGATGTCGCTGAGCACAACGACGCATGATATACATTGGCTTAAAGCCAAGCACGAGTACCCTGAGCTTGACGAGGGCGTATACTATTGCAAGTGGCTTCGTACCGTAAGTTGACCTTGGCTTAAAGGCAGTCATGTGCGTATGCCTAACGGCATCTTCTTGGAGTGAAGAGCAACCTGTTGCAAATGCTGAAGCATCAAGACGACGTGAAGTGGCCATCTGGTTCTAGAAAAGCTGGAATCGGGTCAAGATTGACGCTATCGTTTACAACCTTAGAGACCGCTTCTTCCACTCCACGTTTACATGATCATAAGAAGATCGGTGCGGAATCGTGCCATGTCGACTTAGTTTGATCTACCCTTGTGCAAGTACTTTGCCAAGCCAAGTTACTACCTCAACTCGTTGTTGAATAGAGGCACTATCCATTTTACAATGATCTTGATTTTGTGGGATCTACTCACAGGCTCTACTTTCCAGTGATGTAGCTCGGGGAGCTAACTTCGTCGGTGCCGAGGACACGTTTGCCTATAAATACGAGTATCTTATGTCAATGCATACACTCGAGTTCTGGGTCATAAAATGTGTTGTTTGATTTTCATATCCGAGTATTCGAGCTCTACACGACTAATAGGCACGATGCAAATTTAATGGCAGCGCCACCAGACGTTTTCGCGTCGCAGGTTCATTAAATATTCATTGTAGCATAATCTGCCACGCCCAGAGCATCTCGCTTGGAGAACTCACCGCCATCGATTTCTCTCATCAGTAGCTGATAATATTCATCGAGTAGCTCGAGGGAACTAAGGTACTACACTTTCTCCCGTTTCCGCGCGTGGTCTCTTAGCTTGAAAACCGCAAGCGCAACGCGATCTCCCCCCATTTGAGAACAGCTGAATTCATGTCCACTTCAATTTCTTTCACTTAAAGGGAAAGATTCTCATCGCTTCGATCACCATAGGCCAAGACACTCACCATCAGCGGCGTTGTGGAGGGCGTCATCGGCTCCCCGTTAGGTGGCTGTTGGAGCGCTCCTGGGTGTCTCATCAGCCCGTTCCTTAAGCTGGTAAGCGCTTACAGGCGAGCTATTTAGCCTCCGGATCTTTGGCCGCTACTTCCCTTATCTTGTCGGGACCAATGAATAGCATGAACTTACTAGGCTTATCTAGTTGTGTCGGATACACGAACGGGAAAAGTTTATGTTTTATCGTCGCAGAGGGTGCAGTCCTTTCACAACTCGTTCCGTATAACTAAGAGTACTAATAAGTGCAAAGGGGTTGCCGTACACTTTGCACAGTTTTCTTTAACAGATGCGCTGAAATCGGGCTCGGATGCTCTGATCAGTTACGGAGCCAAGCGCCTCCACCGTAACTAGGTATCTGATTAGCTTTGCTATGTGAAAGTATATCTAATAATAAATCTGTTTGGGCTACATGTACACATTCGACTATCTTTCGTAACTTACCGATACTTCGGTATTTATGAATATCCACAATAACATTGAAGAACTGCACAATTGATTATCCTGTTACACATTCTTACATATTGTGTAAAATATAGAGGAACCTTTTTAGCTAAGAAAAGGTATCTTTCTGAAGCTCATAGACAAAGTAGTACAGTACCGGTATTTCGCCCACTTTTTCGCTTACTATAATACTTAGGCTCTTTTAAAATAGTCTTGCTGACTACAACTCGCTACGACATATTCGTTGCACGATCATGTCAACGCTGCCAAATTTTGTCGAGCCGATAGCCTTACGATGTTTTTTACTAGCTCAAAGCATTGATGTCATTAATCCTGACGTGATGACAAATTTACTAGCAAAGTTAAGGCATCTTCCGGTTACTGAAGACAACAAACGGGAATATCATACAGTACCTCTCGAGAAAGTCGGAGAGTTCCTGGACGCTATTCTTTTGGCGTATGCTAACACTGAATTCCAATCAGAGAATACTAATCAGCAAAGTGATGGTCCGCTGCCTATTATCTCAACAAAAGCGTTTTTGGAGCGATTTCGACCCACAAATACCACTCGAGTACTCTGTGGCTACTTATTTCAGCGTAATGATATTGTATTCAACTGCAAAACGTGTCAATTTGATGAGACGTGTGTGCTTTGCCTTAATTGTTTTCAAAATGGCAATCACGAAGGTCACGATGTGTATTTTCATCGTACAAGTCCTGGAGGAGTCTGTGACTGTGGAGACAGCGAAGCGTGGGCACCCGAGGGCTTTTGTGTCTACCATGGACACAAAAATGAAGTTACAGAAGGCTGTCCGAGAACAGGAAGCATGGAATCGTTGCCTGATAATATTTTACGAGTAGCCGACGCTTTATTTCAAGCCATCGTGAGTTGTTATATCGAAATGGCGACACAATCGATGAAACTTTTCGATGCTGAGTTTGTGGATGCAAATGGACGGCAAATGGTGCATGCGTTGCGGTTACGATTGCAACGAGAAGGGAAAACAATGGACGATGTCCAGCATGCGGAACGACAATTTCATGTGCGTATTTGCAACGACGACATTCACTCGGACGAGGATTTAATTCGATCACTGTCCCAAAAGCAAATACCTCGAGCTGAAGCACTTGTACGAGCAATTGATTCCAATGGATCTGAAATCGTGGCTAATAATTTGTTGTTGCGAGACGCTTTGGCGCTCATGCAAGCGCTCAAGAGTGAAGGATGGCACGTTTGTGTGGTACAAGATCAATTCATACACGATGAAGACGTTTTGCTACATATAACACGGTGGATCAAGACTATTTGCTCGTTGTCTGAACAGCTACATGAGCTGTTTTGCAACAAATTGTTTGCCACAGACGGTCAGCAAAAAGAACCAATTCAGATCATGTTTCTCTCGGATCCGTACTTTCGAAAGGATCTTGTGCTGGAATTGTACGAATTATATTTGAGACTTCAAGGCGTTAAAGGTCCGAAATTGCAATTTTCGATCGTTTTTATAAAAGTATATAACCGAATGATGCTAAAATATTTCTGTGGAGTCGGTACGCGAGAAGAATCGCTTTTTCAATACGGGGTTCAGATCCTTACGACTCCATCGATAGTTCACCATTTAATAAAAGATGGATTGATGGAAATGTTGTTAGATACGATCAATACTGCGCTTGAAATGGCACGCACACATACCATATCACTACAACCACATCATAGTATCTACCGTACATTGGACTGTGATCATCCTCTCTTAAAGTTCAAACGGTACCACTTTGTGATTGAAAACTTTGGGTATGTATTAGGTATTCCGGCAATGTCTAGTGCGTTCCTTCTTCGATCGGATTTGCTAGAAAAGTGGCTTTGTGCGCTCGCCGAAGTCCAAGATCTGGATCCTCAACTTCGCATACAAAATGGACGTGCTCATGTGACTTTTGAAACACAGTCGTGGCTTACTGCGTTTGCTTTTCATGCCCATGTGAGCAAACTTCATTCTATAGTTTCAAAAGGAATTCGTTTTCATGAGGCTGTGGATGCAAGCACTTGCAATCAAGAGCGCGAACGTATGGTTTTTAATATGCTTGAAGGATTTTGGGATCAGATGGATCGTTCCGTAACACATCAGATGGAACTTTATAGTTCTCCGTGTGGTCGATTGCTGGGCTCCCATTGTTCAAAAGAGATTGTCAAGTATGATATCATGACACAACCAGTGTCATTCCACCACCCACTTCATGGTCTGCTAGCTTTTTCTTTGATTGAAAGTCTGTACTTTGGACCAGCTTCACCTTTTGAAAGCGCCAAACCGTGGATTTCGAATTGGACTACACTTCTTGAGCGCACGATGGCGAAAATACTGAATCAGAGCGGAAGCAGAGAAGAAGAATTGAACAAACTAGTGCGACAGAAGAAGATATTGATTTATGCACTGATGGAATTTCCGCTTCGCTCTATGGCTTTAAGCGCGCATATTACGTGCGGCTTATGGATTCGAAATGGCCAAAACATGCAGCGCCAGTTGTTTAACTATATGAGTCCACCGTGGTGCAAAGAGTTACGGGATTCGGACCTTTTTCTTGTTCAAGTAAGCGCAGCGGTGGTGCGTCTCCCCACGTTCTTAACAATTTTTTTTGACCGCTTCGGCCTTGCAGAGTGGCTTGTATCCTGGGCAAATATTGGTAATCCAGAGTACGAAAGCTTGAGCGTAGCTACTCGTGAGGATTTTGCCAGCGCTTCAGAGGACGAGAAACTAGTTAGCGTTTTAGAAACCGCTCTGCTACAGCTTCTTTGGATCGTAACCGAGCTCACACCCGATTCAAACGCCATTGAACAAAGAGATATAGTTCTTCGCCGTGAAGTTCTCCACCGTCTAAGCCAGAATCCATATCGACTGTCTGAACTGCTTGATCAAACTGAATTTGTAGTCTCATCGCCGTTTGGTGGCCTCACAACTCGGCAAGAAAGGCAGCACTTAGCACGCCTTGAGCAAATCCTTGATGAAATTGCTGACGTACAGGTTAAGCGCTCCCATCTAGGGGCTCCACTCGGCGATGGCGCCTGTGAAGCCGACAGCATGGGAGATGGGTCTATGGAACCAACGACATACTTTTTAAAAGGGGCGTATTATAAAGAATATGATCCGTCATTTTATCACTTGAGTCGATCAAGCCATGAAAAAGCACAGGATGCTCGTCAAGAGGCGTTGTTTAAGACATGGAGAGCAGAGGATCCACCCATTCCGCTAGTCTCACAACTTCCACCTCCACACATGTCGTTTGGCATAGTGCGATTTCTTGTGCTGGAAAAAGGTTTGCTTGGTATCTTGCGCCTTATTTTGGAGGACGTACATTGCCCGGGCATTGGAAGTTTAGCTTGCGACCGTCGAGGCAAGAAGACGAATGCGATGGTGATATTACGTGCTATTCACCTGATTAATGTGGCTGTTCTTGTGCTGCAGCGTGGTAATGATAAAGCGATTTTGCCGCAAGAGACTGAACCTGTTTTGTCTGAAAGTAAGATACGCCAGACGCTCTTATTACTGCGAAACGGCCCCGAAGCCTTTAGAGAAACAGATGTAACATCACGAGGAAAGAAGCGCGTGAAAAGGCAGTCAGTGTCTAGTGATGAGGTCAATGTGCAAATGAATCGAGAGAATGAGGAAGGCGAGACGAATGACGTCCACGATTTAAGTATTGTTGCGCTTCTTGTAGCACTGTCAAAGGATATGGCTCAGCATGACTTTGAAGCCTCTAAATCCACGATCTCAGCTATTTACTGGATTTTAAACAATTTAGCAGCGTTAGATAGTGTGATCTATGTGTACTTAGAGCTTCGAGTCTGGAGTGGAATGAAAAAACATGAAGAGATGGTGACTGAGGTAGGAATGTCAAAATCTGAACGTAACAAGCTTCGTCAACAACGCGCAATTGCGGCGATGATGGCACGTCAAAAATCTTTTGCGCAGTCGAGTGCTTTTGCTGAGATGGACGACGCGGAACAGTTAGATGGAACTGGGTTCTCTGGCAACACTAGAGTGCAATTAAACAACCATGACACAGATCCCGAGCATTCAATTGTCTACCAACCGCCATCACCGCCAGACTGCATTATTTGTTCGCAGAAGGAGAGGGAGAAGCCAATGATGTACATCGGTCATGCTCAAATGAGCAAAGTGAATTCTCATGCGACTGAAAATTTACCAAGAGACATGACGAAGATTGTGACTGATGAACATAATAGCTCCTCTGCTCTCACGACAGCATTTCCACCAGCCATTCATCTGTCGCTGTGTGGTCACGCTGTCCATCTGCACTGCTGGCAAAAGTACTTCGAACTAGTGCGTGCACAGTCTCGATTTAATTTTGAGCACAACCAGACCAGCATCGCGTTTGATGCGAATTTTGGCGAGTTTCTTTGTCCGCTTTGTCAGGCGCTTAGCTCTATGCTAGTACCATACTTACCCGTCTGTCCACCACTAACATCAGCAAATCAGGTACGTGATCGCATCGCCATGGAACAAGTATTTCAGTCAAAACAAGATACTTCAACAATATTATCGTGGTTGTCCAATGGACTCCCGAGTCGAATTGATTCAATTGACCCTGGAAATAATGAAATGAATGCAGAGGAAGGGAATAGATTGAGCATAAACCGTGAGGATGATATTCATGCGATGAATCAGTTTGCCGTTGGGTTTCTCGAGACGATGTTGCGTTTCCAGCCCGAAATGACGCATCTGGCAACTGCTATGAGTGCACTCAAGAATGGTTTTTTCTCAACTGGAGCACAACTCACGCATTTGATCTGGTCATCTGTGGCTTCAACGATTACTAGCACGCAATTAAGTGGCATTTCATCTGCAATGCATTCTTTAGAAACATTCTCGACATCGAAGAAAGGCAATAAAAGTTCTTCTATCTGGCAACCACCTTCTCGATCCCCAACTACTGAAATGGCAACTTCTGCGGCGACAGCATATTCCCTCGTGTCTTTGAGAATCACTGACATTTTAAATCCGGCAGTACCGCCTTTGAAAACGCGAGTAGGTGTGTCATTGCCAGAAGCGCTAGATCCACAATTGGACCAATATACACCCAAAGACGACAGCAAACTCAATATTCTGCTGCGGCCACTGCGAAATATGTCATTGCTTTTTACAACACGCCACCACGGATTTTATCGCAGTATGTGCTTCCCTGTTGCGCAGAATCTTCGACTTGCTCTGTCTTCTGAACAATGGCTTGAGACGTTATCGCAAGGACCTCCACTCCAACTTGGTCTACCCATTTTGAGTCAGGATTTATTCTATCTGTGTGTTGCTATTTGCAGTAGTATGCTGACGACTAAATCAGAGATCTTGCTCACGATTCGATCATTGTGTGTTCTATACATGGCCCAAGTGCTTATTCAACTGGCTCAAATGGAAGCGGAAGATGAAGATGAAGATGATTGTCTCGGAAATGAATTGAGCGATGAAAGGAGACGTGCACTTGTAACTGTTGGTGCTAATGATGAATTATATGAGCAAAGGGAAGATATGCAGCTTGGATTGGAAACGCTGATGGCGCGTCTTGCATTTGAAGCTGGCGTTACTTGTGATCGGAACCGAGAAGATGTTCCCTGTGCAACTCGGCGGCCAGCGTTACAAGGTCGACAGCTGCAATTGCTGTTTGAATCTTCGTGTACGGCATTCATGCGGCAAGCGACACTTCTTTGTCGTGCATTTTTCCGAGGCGAGCAAGATCCAGATGTATCATGGAGTGCCAATTTTGTCAGCTCGCTGCGTCTCAGTACAAATTACCATGAAATGTGTCAACAACTAGGAATACCACGAATTTCACAGTTATTGGTCGATGAACAACTGATCAAATATCTTTTACGGGCTGCGCGTGAACTACGTACTCGTATAACAAGTGGTGCAGTATCAGAAGAGGCTCAAGCTCATTACCAGCACCACGGGAATGCTGAGCAACTGATTACCGAGGTCCAGACACTTGTTTTTAGTAAGGCAAAGCAAGACGAAAATACTTTGGCTGAATGGGAAGCAAGAATTGCTCGCGGTAATTTTCAGAAAATCCCAAAACTTCCGCTTCGATTGGAGCCAGATGTGCATCAGCCGCATAAAAGTTTATTTCATTTCGCAAATATTCGACTGGTAAAACTAGCGCATTCGTATACCAGTTTACATTCTGAGGTGCTAGGGAGAAGCAAATGCAGACAAACGTTAAAGACAATGGAGAATCCAGCTATTTGCCTGGTTTGTGAACACATCCTATGCGCTGGGACCGAGTGCTGCCGACGACGCAATGACGGTATTGGTGCCTGTACTTATCATGCTATTACGTGTGGTGCTGGTGTTGGGTTATTTTTCCTTATGCGGTCGTCTTCAGTGCTTCTTGTATATGGCCCTAGGAGCTCGTACTTTGGATCGCCTTATCTTGATATGTTTGGTGAAGAGGATATTAACGTGCGTCGTGGGCGACCCTTATATTTAAGTGCTACGCGAATGAGAGCGCTGCAGACGCTGTATGCAAATCATCAGCTTGCCAATGAGGTAGCACGAAATCGGCGAACCTCCGATCAATACATTCGAAATAATTATTACTGATCGAAATAATTACAATAGATGGAGGCAATGTGGCACATCTTGGCTCAATGAAAGTGAATTTGATACCCGAACAAGCTCAAGTAGAATGTCAGTTGATGATGTCAATCACTACTTTGTCAATATGTTACATCAGATATCTTTAAACTGTCGCAAAAAAAATTCGCATGAATGTTATCAATTTGGGAAATCTAAGGTAGGTATAAACTTTAAGGTGATAGGGTTCTCGTCTGGGACTTACATTTCCACATCAAGTATAGCATTTCGTCCACATCATGTTTGCCCAAGTCGATGCATTTTCCTTGCAGTAGTAGCAAAAAGATTCGTGCTCGAATTTAAAGTCGATGTTCCTCATTTTCTTAATATAGTCACTTTCGCGCACGAGATTATACGATCGTAGGTCCCTCTTCAGCTCCATTTCTAGATCTGCGTGGTCCGTTAGCACATCGACATCTTGTATTGCTGTCACAGCGTAGACTTCTTAGAACAGGTTTCACCAGCTTCAATTGGGAGTAATTCTTAGGAAGTCATAAAGCCGTGTCGCTCAAAGTACCTCTGCTGTAAGATTTGCATTCGCTGTTCTCTTCCTGCAATGTCCATTGAATTACGGATCTGTAGGGTACCATGTATCGCCTTGTAGAAAGCTTTCTTTTAAGGAACGGTGAGATGATGAGTGACTGACTGCATAGTTAATGAGTGTAGCGGATGCATCCTTGGTCGAAGCCTCTGTTTAGCCTGGTTTAGTTTTGTTACTACTCGTACGTTCGATCTCCTTACATATCTCCTGCAGTTTTTCTGTGCTGCTGAAGATATCCTAGACAAGTCAGGTAAAAATTCAGTGGACATCGCAACGGAACCTATTGAAGTAGAATTGCCGTCATTTCCATCTCTACAAACTCTTTCGACAACCCTGCCCCATTGACACCTTCTGCCATTTCGACACTTCATCGTGCAGCAACCACAATTTGCATATAATTTATCACGGCATGCATGACCAATAAATCAAATTTATTACTCAGACCGCCCTCACAGCGTTGTTTCTATTGTAGCGAAGACATTTTTTGGCACGTGTTAATCTCTTCATGGTTCTCGCAACGGGGTTGCCACGCAGCGCGCACAGAAGTAGATACTCGGATACTATTAACACACAGACGACGGGTTCTCCAGCCATGTCAAACCAATAGCCTCGCTAGTACTTACTTATTCAAATGATACAATTTTTCATTTTGAACTTTGAGCTAATTCTAATTGATACTTACATATCTGCTCTGCTGTCTGTAATTAAAAAACATACACAATGCATGGCGTGAGGCTAGCAGCCCGTTAGCAACGATCCTCTCTCATAGAAAGTATCATCAGTCTGATACGTACCGGTCACCATTATAGCACTTCGTCATAGTACTTTTTTACGCTGGTTCTTCATCTGAGCTCCGCATTGAGGCCAAGGGATAATAGCTCAATGTGTAAGCAGGTACGTCCGTCATACTGCACAGCTTAAGACTCCAACACTTGCGATCTGAAGTTTTCTTATTGTCATTGATCTGATAAACGGCTTTGGAGTTATAATTTCGTTTGACCACCAGCAGAAATCAGACTTTACTGATTGACAGTAATGCACGTAATGTCACGATATTTATTTGAGAGTACAAACGTATCGTCGTGCAACCATTGCTCAACTCCCACCTTCTTCATGGGGGAAAGAGTAAAAGTAACCGATCTGATCATACACAGTAATGAGAATATTTACTTTCCATTAGTTGTTTTCAAAGCTAATTAAATCTGCTAATTCAGGATGACAACCAAAGTTAGAACAAGGTTTTTGTCATATCGTTTGAGCCTCATTAAACGGCTGCTTAAATTGAAATTTGGCGTTTCGGCATCACAGAAAATTATTCAAGATTAAGACGCGATTGAGCGGTATAACTTCAAGAGCTTTCATTGTGGGGAGCAACACAGCCATTCGCGTATATATTTAAAATGACATGATATACTACTGTGTCTTACTTAGTGAAAGTCTGATATAGAAATTCATCCGAAATGACACATGCCTCAAACTAACATGTTTTTTCCGTTTCTATATAACATTGAAGCATAATAGCATTTGGACTAACAAGAACCAAACACAGGGTAAGTATACATTACGTCCGCTTTGATATATGTAGTTGGATCACGATTAAATATAATTATTGATGGTGTAGTTTTCACGTGTAGTAACTAAAAACGGGAATAGTTCGAGCGATTTGGTTAGCCGCAGCACGCGCCATGTCAATATCAGGACCCAGCACGCTTGCGATATCATAGTATCGTTCAATAGCGGCACGTATGCCGCTACTTTCACCCACTTCGCTGATTGTCGGCAACACCTTCGCCAGCTTGCGTCGCTTGATGGGTTTTTCAAAGCATGGAAGAGTGATATCTGCATCATCAGTCGGTGAATGCGCAAGTAGCGTCCTGATCACGGCAAAAGCTGCGCCTGGTTCGGTCACGGTCGTTGTCTGGATGATGACATAATTGTTATTCTTCTCGGAAACCCAGAAGAACTGCCAATGATCAGTCAAGTTAGTTAGCAGTGCCATCACTGGGTCATCGACGAGGAAATCCAGTGCGATTAGTTCCGACAAAGCCTGGAAGCTGGAACCTGCTTTTACCACCTTCTTAACTTCGATCAGCATCTTCACATCAGGCAACAGCTCCACATAATGCGGGAATTGTTTTGCGAGAGCACTCAATACGAGGATATCCATCTTTCCAACAAGATCAATATCGTGACTAGGTACTGCAACGCTGAGAATGTTATTGCCTTTTTCCACGCCGAGCACGCATAACTTCTTCTCCGCGAGCACATCGCCAATGTTGTGTTCCACGTACTCGCGGTATCGCTCTCGTTGCTGCTCCTCGGTGAGCGCAATGTTCTGACCACGTCCATCGCAAACGCTATCCCACTTGAATCCCTGAACCGGAGCTGGGTTTCTAGCAGTAAATGCAACCGTGCCAACAGGTTTCACTCGAATATTCAGGTCATGCAGCAGCGCTTTTCCCTCGTTCGAGCTCATTTCCGAATGGACGTATCGCTTACGCTTGATTTGTACAACTTGCTCGTACATCTCGTCGATTTTTTTTCCATTTTCGCAGTTACCAATTTCTCACCAGCGGCAGCTTCTGGCAGTTCCACCAAGACGTGAATCTCTTTATCTCCAGGCTGAAACTTCTTTTTGAAATACTCATCATCGTCGAGTTTCCGCGACGAGAGCATCTTCTTGTATCCGCTGTCGATCTTTCTTTGCAGCACGTCCTCCACACTGTAATCATGATTTAACCACGCGTCGTCCTTCTTCGCCAAGTACAGCGTCAAATCGCTTCCATCAAAGCTGTAGCGCTCTTTATATCGCTTCTTGTCGAAGATGGCCTCCTGCAATGCGCTCACTTTAGCATCACGAGTGATCTTCACGGGAAACACGCTCTTTTCGCCATACACTGCGCACTCCAGCTTCATCTCCATGTTTTTTTTCTCAAATTTGATACCCTCCTCAAATCGATGATAGCATTCTTTTTGCCATCGTGTTTTTGATACTGTAATTTAAAAAGTTTCATTACACTTTTGGGGGTGCTTTCCTATTTACTGCTACCTTGATTATGGACTTACGTGATTAATAGGGCCGACTTTTCGGTCAAACTAGTATACTGAAACCAAGTTAGAATTTTAACCTGGTATAACCAGCTTTGACACGTTGTCCAGTGATTACTTGGGTGTCTTGTGGCTCAGTGGTCGATAATTGGTTTGAGATCAGTTTGGTCTCTGGATCAATATCGGTCGCATTGAAATCTTGATAAATCAATACCCGACGGTTGGGATCCGAAAACTTGAGGGTAGGGAGTCTACCAAACCAAGGTGGGAAGCTTGGGGTCGCGTACAAGCGCTTCTTGGGGCTGGAGACATAATCAAGGAGCTGGCATATTCCGATCTACCTTCGGGGAAGTCTCAATACAGTCAGGCCTGGAGTTTGACGGATGGAACTTGCCCCCATCCATGTATAATTCCGCATAAGCCGTTCCAAGGAGCCGGATGGGATTAGTTCTTAGTACGAAGGTTCCCGGTTGGTATTCTCGACTTGGTGTGTAGCTCTACTGGGTTGTCTTCAAGTGACCATCTCTGTCCATAAGATGCTTAGTCATTTGGTGTTGCTGGACTCGTATCAAAAACCGTGTCTTGTATTAGCTGTTTAAGCTGACGCAAGACGAGTGCAGAGTGACGACGGCTTTTTCGAGCTCGCGTGTCGATATGATTCGAGACTTGGTCATGGAATCGACTCTCATTGCGATGCATCCATATGCAGCGGGTTATAATGGCTCGCACAAAGTTCAATACCACAAAGAGAGTAAAGCCGTGCTTTTCTTTGGCTTCTTGGGTAGGCTGGAGTTTGGAGAAGTACACGAGTGTTCCCCAGGAAAGCTTGCTTACAAAAATTCCTTTGGAGAGGCTGGATAAAAGGGTCCCATAACCGTGAGGCAAAGGGACAAATCCAAAACAGGTGCTAGGGGGTCTCAAGGTGCTCAAAGTCGAAGTGGCAAGTTGTCTTGGCGTCTTGGATACGCTGGAATCGATAGCCTAAGTACAAGGCGTTGTGTTGGAGTCGGAAAAGAAAGTCAGCATAGACTGATAGGATATGCTTGTTTAATTTTGAGTCTCGTTTCCAGAAACCGGGTTCAGGGACTTCTGAGATCTCTAATCGCTGTAATGGCAACGCAGAAGGCTTGGGAGATTTAAGCACGCCCCGGATCATAGATCCTGTGAGTTCCTCTATGGGGTGCTCTTCAATAACCCAATTATGGAAGGCTTTTGCAAATACTTGATTTGGACGAGGGCCGTGGGGTAAATGACGGAGTACCCGAAGCGCAATATCACAGTCTGCGAGAAGGTCCCTGCAATATCATGTGTAATACGCTCTTGAGTCATCTGGACGTTAAATTGCTGTAGCAAGCGACGCCGGTGTAGGTGCATTACCGCAGGGATCGTATATATCTTCTGCCGTATAGAGCTGGAATTGGGCGAGTCTGTGTACGAGTGCCGAGGGTCTTGTAGCTAATGTGCGATCCTGGCTTCCATGTCGTATTATGGCGTTGTGCAATAGAGGCATAGACAATAAGTCGAAATCGCTTGTACTGGCTGGTATCTTGGGTCTCAACTTCGTATGCCACACAAACAGCACCTGGTGCCAGAAGCTGTTGAGAGCAGACCAGCGGTTTTCACGTCGAGTATTGGCGTGGTTGGGACTGGTAGTTACCGGAGCATATAGGATATCAAGAGGCCGGCCCCATGGCGCCATTGCCTGGTGAAAGACCTCAACAATAGGAGAAACCCAACTGGGAAGTGAGTGATGGTATTTTCGCACACTGTTAATCAGTGTGCGTCACACGTACAAGTGCATGTATTTGTAGTGCGGTTACAGAGTCCTCGATTTGGGTGAGACCGAGACCTCCTTGGGATCTTGGTGTGTACCACCAGTCTGTGGCCAGGATAGCTGCTAGGAGTGCTATAGTCACTTAGAAAGGACGCAATGACACTCTTGACTTGATCTTGGAAACCGGATTGCGGGATGTGACATACACTGGCTGTGTACCAGAGTGTGGGTAACACAATTTGCTGAAGCAACGCCACTCAGCCGTTTAAAGTCCTTGCGCGGTGTTTCCACACTGTACAACGGAGCTGGATATTGGCAATGAGATGGTGCAGCCGATCCGGATTGGAGAGTCGCGGTCAATATTGAACACCGAGAAGCTTGGCTTCGTTAGTATTGTCTGTGACTTGTACCCCGAGCTGTTGCATCTGGGCATGA